CACACATTTTTAACACACACACTTGTATAAACTGGCCTGGTCTGTTCTTCCTTCATGGTAAAACTTGTTATTCTGTGTGTGTGTTTGTGTGCCGAAGTGTGTTTCCACTTCATTGTGTGGGCAGTTTATAGTCTGAGCTTCTCGTTGAGTTTTTCACGTTTAAAATTTGTCGATAGATGTTTTACATTTACCTCTGTACATGTTACATACAGTATGATTTCATTATACATGTACAGTAAATGGCCATCTAGAATGTATAAAAATAGGAGCAAAAGGGTAAACATCTAAACATACATTGAAAAGATGACGATTGATGAGGCGGTTGAAAAAAATAAAGGCTGCAACAAYGTAAAGACGCCATGTAAACAGCCTCCAAGGCCAACAAAAAAACAAAAGTGCTTTGCGTTCCAAACTTGTCCGTTGGCTTGGCGCCTCTGTGGAATGTTTTGTGAAGGTCCACGTTCACGTTAACAGCACGAGCAAYGAAATGTGAAACATGCTCATGCCTCATCTTTGGTGGCACAAAGCCTCCATGCAGTTTCTCTTTATAAATCTGGCACTTTACTGTTGAAAATGACAGGGCTGCTATGCTATTGCCTTGAACATGTTCAGGGTTTAGTCACGGTACCTTGATCGCAAATTAGCCATCAAACCCTCCCGTCTACGTGGGACTACAGGTGTCCAACCTGGAGTGGAAAGGTTGTGCAGGTTTCAGGTATTCTTTAGGAGTATTCCCCTTAGTTCTGGGATTACGGATCCTCTCTGGTGTCTGAGAAGATCAGAACGGTTACAGATTCAGAAGTGTTTACCCCTGTTGTTATGGGGATCTTTAGTTGTCTTTATCCAAAGTGAAGAAATCCACTGTATTAAATTCCCATTGCCATCTACTCCTTTGACTTCCACACTGAGCTTAGTAACCAAAAAGCGACCTTAATACTCCATCCTTTGTTGCCTATATACCGAGAAACTGGCTTTTGTTTCCCCTGGTGTCGTGAGCCACATGTTTGACCGCCAACAATAGCGCTCCAATCTTCATAAGGACCATTTCCTCCAAAAAATGTGCTCCAATTTGATTGGAYGGTGCAAATGGTCAGTCAGAAGTTGGGGCGATCCTGCTGGACACGGACGAGYGGCAGATTGTAGAACTGGTTGATGTTTCAGGAAACAGTGAACAGATCTGGTGGACGTCCGTAAGTTTGCCCATTCACTGATCAGTGGGTTTCTCACAGGGTGGGGCATCCCCTCCCTCTGCATTTGTGGTTGAGAACTCGGTGACGCGTCGGGCCAGCGGGTTTGTGCTTTTCAAAAGCTCCATGGCGGACACCCTGGCCCCGCCGCCGGAAGACTTGTTGCCTTTCTTCTGAAGCAGAGCCATGAAGTTCTCGTTGCGAGACGTTGACCTCTGGCTGCTGCCCAGGGTGAGATTTCGGATGTCGCTCCCGCTGGTGCTGTGCTTCACAGGTGACACCAGGCTCTGGCGGCTGCCGAAGGARTCAGAMGGCTCCTTACGACCCAGAACCTTTCTCTTGGATCTAAAAGAAATCAGTATACCATTAGGAAAGCAGAAAGACTTAAWGCACAGCTAACACTAATCAACCATAAAATAAATACCCCTTCATAGTTACAACGGGAAATATTCTAATTTCGTATTTCTCTAGAAATTAGATTTTATTTGACCATTATTGAATTTTTTTATTCTATTTGTACAAATGGCCAATTTGCTGTATATTGACCATGACTGATATGTTTTTATTTTAGCAGGAAAATCCTAAAACTAGGGATGCACCGATATGAAAATTTCAGCCGATATCGATATCTGATATAATTATTGCTATTATGGCCGATAACCGATATTTACCAATATTACACAAACACACAAATTATATTATACATATATGCACACACTTGGGTCTTTTTTTGATACAATAAACAAACARCCAGACCTCTGACATGGCTCTGCTTCAGTTATTCCTGGCTGTGCAGCATCAATATCACTATCATGATCAAACAGATGCTGTTCAACCAACCACCTCCCCTACCAAAACGGAAACACAAAGATAAAAAATATCGGACGTTAATATCGGCCCAATTTTACATAATGGGCCGATACCGATATTCTAAAAAATGACCAATATCGTCCGATACCGATATCAGTACCGATATATCGTGCATCCCTACCAAAAAAAATCCCMAAAAGTGAATAATTTTATAGACATTGTTTAAAGTAAAGCACAAAACTTTATATTTAAAGCCACAGGAGAGATTTTATCTTAATGCATGAGATAAAACACTGACTAATAGTTTTCCTTTCTTCCTTTTCTCTGCCATTCAAGCTAATTTCAGCACCAAGCAAGGTAAAAATCACACTTGTTGCTTGGATACTAGCTCTCCTGGGTCGGACTGTGTGCGCTCAGATGCATAAATGTGTGTGTGAAAGAGAGGTTTTTAAAACAAGAAAAAAAATATCTAAACCCAGTGGTCACTGCTGTACATGTAGCTGTTGCTAGGGAACCCTATACTCAGCTCATACATTTCACCTCATGTTCCAGGTTATAAAAAGCTGTCAGAAAAGCTTGATGCTGTCGCTTCTTTATGTTTGCAATATTCCAACAACAAATGTGTGTGTTTGTTCAAACCTGTGTATAATAGTGAACAGGTCTTCAGTGGTGTGTGTCGTTGTCGTACTGGCCAACAAATTGTCCTCTGTTTCTTCTGCGATGTGAAGCACAGACTTCTCATCTGCAGCCGACTCATCTGAATAACACACAGATATCACTTTAAAACAAGAAAATGTTTGTTTCAGCTTTAGTCTTTTTTCTATGACTCTACAAAAAAACGTTTCTTACTTTATTAAAAAGAAATTACACATTGAGTTAAAAGGACTTAGGACACCTTGTTTTTTTTTCAGAAATGAAAGCAAAACAAAATATCTGAACACTCTAGCAAGTAATGGGTGAGGAATGGGATGCTTAGAACATGGCTGCCATCTTAAAAGCCACCATRTTGGATCAAAGTCTACTTTTTTTCCAAGGGGGTGATGTAGCATATCAAAGACCAGAATTGTCTCAGAAATGGATTGCTGCAATCAGTTGTGCAATAGCTCTTGTAGTTCAGAAGTTATCAACACAATAAGTTGCACCAACAATTGGGAATGTTGCCTGAGATGCAGTCATCTGACATATTCAGTGTGCTGTCCCTAAACACAAAGCTTACCCGTGACAAATGACAATCCACTCCTGAGACAATTCTGGTCTTCTTTGTTATGCTACTTGACCCCTTTTCCATTGGAAGAATTTGACTTTGATCCATTGAGTTCAACAGGGTGACCATGTTCCAAACATAGCCTAAAATATACCCCCCCCCCCACTCATTTACAGTTTTACATAGGGATGCACAATATATCAGTATTAATATATGTATCGGCTGATATTGGTCATTTTTTAGAATATCGGTATAAGTACGGTATATAAAACTGGCCAAATATGAACGTCTGAAATATCGATTTCCCATGTTTTATCTTTGTGTTTCTGTTTTGGTAGGGGAGATGGTTGGTTGAACAGCATCTGTTTGATCAAGATAGTGATATTGACGCTGCGCAGCAGGTATATTTGAAATAGAGCCATGTCAGAGGCCTGGTTGTTTATTTATTTACAGTATCAAAAAAAAAGGCCTGAGTATGTTTGTGCGTACAGTATATGTATAATATAATTTGTGTGTTTGTGTAATATTGGTAAATATCGGTTATCAGTCATAACAGCAATAATTATATCGGAAATCAATATCAGCTGAAATTTTCATATCGGTGCATCCCTAATTTTACATGTATTAAGCTAAAATAAAATAAGTTATCGACATACTCTATTGCTAAAATTGATGTTTAACACTTGGTTGATAATTATTTGAGTCAACTGTTTCTGTTAGCAAAATATGCTATGACAGTGGTTGAAATGTAATAAAACWTTCAATAAGTAATGATTAGAGCTACAATAACTTTTTATTTTTAATTATCCTTTATTTATACAGGAAAATCTCCTGAGAGTCGTCGTGTCTTTTACAAGAGACCTGTTACATACATCACAAC